CTACTACCTACTACCTACTACCTACTACCTACTACCTACTACCTACTACTACTACTACTACTACAACTACAACGACAACCACAACTGCTACTACTACTACTACTACTACTACGACTACTACTAGTACATGGCCGTCCGGCCGGCCGATCCAGGGGCCGCGGAAGAAACCGCTTCTACTACTACGACTACTACCACTACTACTACTACTACCACTACTACTACTACTATTACTTCTACTTCTACTACTACTATACATGGCCGGCCGGCCGGCTGCCGGCGAAATAGCAGGCCGGGTTGCCCGCGCTGTCTGGACTTGAAGGCCTCACTAGTTGAAAGCCTTCATTTTTGTAGCGCATGGGGAGTATTGAGCCCTAATGTAACCAATTGTTTTGGGGTCTCCCCATTATAACACACCATTTGGACCGATCATGGCTCCAGAGCACAGAGTCCTTCTTGGCCATGCGGTGCCGGTACACCATTCGTCCCCATGTTGCCTACATGCGACTCCGACCCCAATGCCCGGGCCTTCTGTTAGACCAGACACAGTTTGTCACAAGATTTTTTGTCCTGGAAGAGGACCTGTGCAGTCTGCCACCATGAAATATCGGGGTTTGGCCGGTTGGCTGCCAGGGATCAACGTGATGTGGTGCAAGAGTTGCCTCTCGACCGCAGAACGGGCGAGTTACATGGGGCGGGGGCATGGTGTTCGCCAGGGATCAATGGATGGAAGGTTTGCATCATCTTTCTCAAGTGGACATGACATGGGACAATCCGCTGTTGAAGATGAATATTTCTCAAGTAGAGCTCTTCCAGTGCCTGGGTTCTCTTGCCGGTCTGGTATGTTCCATATAGTCCCCCAATATCCAAAGAAGGTGTTTGAATCCTTGCTCTTGAAACATGGTTTTTCAACATGGGATCAAATGGTATGTATTTTGATGTATTTGATACCCTTTCTCGCCCCCAGCTGGGTGGACTGCATCTATGTTCCAAACCGGTCGTTGGGGGGTCGTTGCCACGCCTGGAAGGCCTGGACATGTCTTTTTGGCTACACACCGCTGGATCTTCCCAGTGACCGTCCTTGATCTGGTTTGAGGTCACGAACAGGCCTGTGTTTCAGGTCACTGGATGGGACTCCAAAAAGGCCACTTAGGGACTCCAAAAAGGCCCAAGTCTTTTGGGTGGACTATTTAGCATGGACTAATCATGTGGGGGGAAAGGGGTGCCACGTTGAGGACCAGTGAAGCTCGCCGACGAAGGACGCGGTTTTCTGGGCCGATTGAGGGGCTTTGAGGTCGTTTCTCAGGGATCCTATGTGTTTGATCTTAGGGTATGGAATAATCGCCTACATTAGGGTGGTGTTGAGATGTGTTTAGATGTTTTAAGGGTCAATGTATAGGGTCAATACTCCAGTCCCATGGATAGTGTGGGGTTTGGGTTCCTGTCCTTGCTTGGGTTTCTCTTCTCCTTGGAGCGAATTGTCACCGATTGGATCGCATGCGGTGAAAAATGGTTTATACCGTGACTGGGCCACATCGGGCAGCAGGAGCACTTCAAACATTTTCAAACGTCTGGACCTGTTTGGACACTTGCAGGATATGGCCGGATATGGCACTCCTGCTTGAAACATGTTCCGAACAGGACGTGATGCAGGATGGACTCTTGTTTGGTGCTTGTGATGCATTTTTCGCGGTCAGAAGATGTCAG